ACAAAACACAAAACAACTAAATAATCTCAAGTCTTACCGTAATTCTCATATTCAGCAGCGTATATTTGCAATCAAATTCACGGGATTTGATGCACAATCAGATTTTGTCTTCAAAAATACCGCCGATGAGTTTTGATGCCAAATCACTGCAGATAATATTTTGTTTTTTATATTTTTTAGTTTGAGATGTTTTTGAATTGGAATAGGAAGTTAGATGAATAGATTAATGATGGCTGAAAATTAGGAGAGATATTAGGAAATTGAAAATTTGAAAAATCTTTTTTTTTTATCCTCTTTTTGGGCGCGTGAATTTCAAACTATCTAGGAGCTCTATATCATAACTGACTCACAATGGCTTATATATTAGTCTTTCCATTCCAAAATTATTGTCAGATTTGGATTTTTATTTCTACCACTAAAAATGAAAATTTCAACCGGACAAAGATTTTTGGACACAGCAACTACTAGATAACAATAAATTTGGTATTTTCTGGACTTGCTTCAATTAATTAAAAAATTTAATTGGACCCTTGTTTTATTATTTACAAATATGTCAGAAAAATTTCTTGTACATATCTTTGATGGGATTTAATCCCGATAACAAGTGTGTAAGTTAATAATCTTTCGATAAGAGTTTTCTTACCGTAGATGATCATATTAGCCTTGATGAGCATGTAAAACAATTATATGGAATAGAAAAGAGAAGAGAGGATTTTTGATGTGAGAAGAGAGGATTAAGTGAAAATGAGAATGCTCTTCTTAGTAGAATAATGATGATACATATTAATCTGTACATAAGTAAATGTCTCTTGGTGAGTTTAGAATTTTAAACCTGATTGGTCAGAAATAAAATTGAGTAATCTGATTGGTCTATTAGTTCATATGACATCATCAATTTTAATATGAGCCTTTTGATTGGTTTATGTATTAACATGATATCAGCAATTTAAAACCGGACTATAATGATCAATTAATAAGGTTGATTTCTATTTTTGCCAAATAAATATGTGTCATCAGCCGAGAGAATGGCGACCTAGGGTAATTATGTCATTTGAAGTATCGAACAAAGTCTGTGGCGGGCTAAACCACGATATTTACTTTCGGACATTGCAATTGATGGTGGCGATACAAGAAAACATTGACAAATTCTGGCCGCCCCAAATTTTTCTCCCCCGTTACCCCTTTCCTTCCCGATCAAATTTTCACCCAAATCTTTCACGTCGTCTTTCTCCCCCGTTGCCTTTTCCTTCTTCGTTAATTCTGAAATAAAATCAATAATTTTGACAAACAAGAATCCTTTATCAGATTGACCCTTAATTTGCTCTTTCTAATTTTGACATATTCATCTCAATGAATTGATTTGATTTGTGGCTTTGAGGTTGTAAATCGGCTTGAACCTGGAAAATGGAAAAACTATGGTGGTATGTTTTGCGTTCCCAAAATGTTTAACTTTGGTGTTAGGGCGCTTCTTTCTATAGTTATTAAATGGAAAATAAATAAAGAAAGAAAAATTTCGGACTCTCCTATGTCAAATTAAGATCTCTACAAATTTATTTTGTCTTGGGAGCACCATTGAAGTTTAGCTATTAAGATAATTGAGTTTTATATCAATTTTTGCAGAGATCAAGCTTTTTCTGATTCTGATTTTCTGTAATGGGTTTATTTTTCTAAGGGATGCCTATTCTCTTTTCAGTTTGTTGCATTTATTTAATGGGTAATTTTGACAAAATGATTTGAATTTGAACTCATTTGGAGGTTTTTCTTCTTTTTATTTCTTTGACTATCATTTCGTGATTTGCATCTGTATGTTCTAAAGGAGCAAATGATCATGGGTCCAGATAAAAAAAAAAAAAAAATCATGCACACTATTGTATAATATTGTTGATGAACTTATTTGCTTGTTGCATTAGAACATATAATTCCAAACCAAATTTTTAACTGACTCAATTACTGAACTGGTCACGCAACGCTCGACAGGAAAAGTTCTAGTTCTTACAATAAAACTTTTATAATGAATGAATGATGCGAAGGAAAAGTTCTAGTTCTTACAATAAAACTTTGATAATAAGAGAATGATGCGATCGCAAATAATGATGATACTATTTTCATAATATCAATACATTTATTTATATGTTCTTTAGTTTATTACTAAAAGAAAACTTAATAGAGAAAACAAAGGATGATAATGCGTTTAAAATGCCAGATGTGTATGTTGGTTTTTAACGGTCAAGAAGGCAAAAGTGTTAGGAAAGCCTCACGGACATCAATATATTTTGTTCTTTTTATTTGCATATTTTATTAAATTCCTCGATATAAAGTTTCACAAAAAAAAACTGAATATGACAAAGTACCTTTATATAAACTAAATCAATTATTTAAATATTAATAAAGTATCGATCAAATATAATTTTAGCTTTATCACCTCTTGCTAATGGATTATTTGTTACAGAAAAGCATCACAATTAACTCTAAATTTAGTAAGAAATTGGGGGGTATTTCCTATATTAGTGCATTCTACTTAACTAGTTTTCATGTTTTTATTAGGTTGGGGGTTCGATTGAACAATTGCTGAAAAATTGAGGCCAAAGGAACAAATTGTGGCTGCTGATGAAATTTTTGCTGAGTTGGACGAAAAAGTACCTCCCAAGACAAGAAGCATCTTGCCATTAATGAGTATGTTTCTCATTTGAATTCCAAGAGGCATGCTTGTCCCTCAGCCGAAATTCCAGCCACCCCTGCTGATCAATGAGATTAATGCTACCACTACTGGAAGAAGAGAAGAAGACCAGTCAAGTTTGGATTCCAGGCACAAGGCATAGGGAGGATTAAACAATTCACAAGCATGGGAGGCCCTCATGATTAAAGAACCGGCTGCAAGGCTCTATAAAAGGGGAACTTCACTCTCAGAAGAAATCATCTATCTCTTTGGTTATCCTTTTAGTTGCCAAAAACACACAGAAAAACTCCAGGAAGAAGATAAGAAGGAAGAAGGAGTAACACCCACTCAGTAAGGAAGCCAAGTTGAAGAACAACCATCCCAGTTTCTGCTTCAGTTCCATGAGTGAACCCTTTCACACTCAGGAGTGGCTCAGAACTGCACAAGCTTTTTTCTCGTCTCTTGACTGTTAGCTTGAACTTCGTTTTATTATGCATACTTCTATGATGTCTTTTGATGTAGTAGATGTAGCATTAATCTGCATGAGTAGCTCAGCAGCTTCTAGGGGTTATTCTTCTCAACCTATGTTGTAGTTGTGTAATGCACTGGTTCTGTTCCTTGTTTTGAAGTTGAAAGCTTTTCTACATTCATTTACTTGATCACTAAATTGAATGCATGCTAGAACTAAGGGAGATCTGGAAGGATAAACTTGGTTTGGATTGTTTCAACTTTAACTTAGGACATAGAGGTAACAGTCTATGGTTTTAACTAAGATAGGAATATACTTAGTTAACATAAGCATTCATGAAGGCCTGAGAATTTAATGACTTTGTAACTGGAATAAATCATTGGAAAATAGATTGTAAAGGTTGCAAAGATGACTCTAAGAAAAATGGGAACTGACTTAGAGTTATAAGTGAGCTGAATCAACAAGAACTCAACCATTACAGTGCTAATAAACAACCACAACAGTAGGAAGAGGAGATGAACACCCCTGGCTTTCATTCCCCTGAGTGACTGTCTCCATTCCCCTGAGTGACACCTTGTCTGACTGGTAGTCTTTCTTTACAACAAATTTGGTAATTAGCTGTCCTCGTGGGATCGACTTAGCTTCCATTATCTACAAAAATCATAATCTAAGCTAGCAATATTTTTGGTGGACTCGGCACGCACCAGAAAGTGGCGCCGTCGCCGGGGATGGCGTAAAACTTCCAAAAATTTGTTGTTTTTGTTTATTTGTACATATATAAAATTCTTCTCTGGTTACCCCACTGAGCTTCACTTTCTTTTCTTTGGTGTATGACTAGAAGGCACCAACGAAGTGAACCTATTTTTGACCCAGAAATTGAAGCTGCCATACGCAGAACCAGAGCAGCAAGAAGAAGGCAGAATCGGTTGCAACAGAACCGTCAAGAAGGTTCATCAGAAATGGCTAACCAAGGTGGTAACCTGGAGAACAATAGGAACCCTGGTGGGGATCAACAAAATCGACCAGAGAGACTGCTTAGAGATTTCTTTATTCCTCAACAAGAAGAAGTTCAATCCCCTTGGGTGTTCCCTGATGTAGAGGCAACCAATTTTGAGCTAAAACCCCAGATGATCCAATGGACTCAATCAGCCTGCCCGTTCCATGGATTACCTCATGAAGATCCTAACGATCATATCCAGAGATTTCTGCGTTTATGCAGTACTTTTAAAATTCAAGGCTTATCAAATGATGACATTAGACTGAGGTTATTCCATTTTACTTTACAGGATCACGCCCAAGCATGGTTCAATACATTACCCAACAATTCTATCTTCACTTGGGAAGAGTTGAGACAATGCTTCCTGACAAAATTCTTTCCACCTGCAAAAGCTGCACAACTCAGAACAGCAATAATGAATTTCAAGCAGCATGGAACTGAAACACTCTATGAAGCATGGAAAAGACTGAAAGAAATGATCAGGAAATGCCCTCAGCATGGTTTGGAAGAGCATCTCCAACTGAGCATCTTCCACAATGGGCTGCTACCAACTACAAGAGACTCCCTTGATGCTGCAGCTGGTGGTGTGTTTATGATGAAGCTAGTTGATGCAGCAAGGCAGTTGCTTGACAATATGACCACCAACCATTCAAGGTGGCAATCTAATCCAAGGGCAAGTACAAAACAGCCAGGAGTGATGGAACTTGATCCCAGCACACACCTGCAAGCACAAATGGCTGTTATGATGAATGAAATGACAAAACTCAGGACTGAGCTATCCAAATCCAAGGCTGAGGTGTGTGTGTTATGTGATGGATCTAACAATTTGGACGACTGTCCCTCCAAAATGGAAGCTGTCCAGTTTGTCAGGCAGGGCAATGCTGGAGGATTCAACAACTTCAACAATTGGAGAAATCAGCAGCAGCATAACTGGAACAATGCACCACAACAAGGGAGCTATCAAGAGGCCTACTCAACCCCCAGGATTTCACAGACAAGATGGCCAGCCTCCCAACTATCAGAATCAGCAACGTTCTAACCAGCAATACATACCAACGGAAGATGAATGGATTTTTGTGCAAAATGCAATCAAGAATTTAGCGGTGTCTTGCAAAAGTTTGGAAAATCAGTTGGCCCAGATTGTAAAACAAAATGCTGAAAGACCATCTGGAAGCCTGCCCAGTGATACAGTTGTAAACCCCAAAGGGAATGACCAAGAGCAAGCAAAGGCTGTCACTCTCAGAAGTGGAAAGCAACTCAATCAGCCAAGTGAAAAAGTCACTCCCCTGAGTGACCCTGCAGGTAAGAATGAAATATTTTCTGAGAAAGTATCTGATAATGATGATGTGGTTGAACAGGAGCAAGCAGCTGGAAAACCTGGAATGGAGGAAACTCAATTCCCAGCATCAAATAAGGAACCACAACAGCCAACTCCAATTCCACCAAATCCGGTAAGACAAAAGAAGGCCAAAATGGATGAAGGGCTCAATAGGTTTATTCAAAACTTAGAAAATATACATATTAATGTACCACTTGTTGATGCACTTAAACAAATGCCTAAATACTTCAAGTACTTGAAAGATTTGGTGGCCAATAAACCACAAGTGCATGACTCTGCTTTTGTTACTCTAAATGAAGAATGTAGTGCAGCTATTCTGAGAAAATTACCACCTAAGCTAAAAGATCCGGGTAGTTTCACTCTTCCTTGCACTGTAGGAATTAGAGAATTTTCAAAAGCATTACTAGATCTTGGTGCAAGCATAAATCTCATGCCATTGTCTGTATTTAAATCACTTGATCTGGACAAATTTCTGGTACCTACTAACATGACATTACAGTTGGCAGACAGGTCACTGACCTACCCAAAGGGAATCTTACATGACGTTCTTGTAAAGATTGGTAATTTCGTTTACCCAGCAGACTTTGTGGTTTTGGACATGGAAGAGGACAGGGATGTGCCCATTATCTTGGGGAGACCTTTTCTGGCAACAAGTGATGCAATCATTAAGGTGAAAAAGGGAGAAATCACATTGCACTTTGATGGAGAGAATGTTACCTTCAACATCTTCAAAAACATGAGATATCCTGCTGAAGTCCATAACTGCTACATGGTAAGAAGTGTAGAGGTAGAAGAAGCAGTAACAGAAGAAATACTGCAAGATGATCTCCTCAAGGAACTCTTATGCCCAGACAGTAATGAGGAACAGGAAGGAAGGGATGAGTATAAGATCACTTGCCTGAGTTACCTGAACCACTCCCCCAAGTGGCATCCTAAGCAACAACCCATTGAACTGTTAGACCTGACTAAGGAAGGAAGATGCCTCAAACCTTCAATTGAAGAACCACCTCATCTCGAACTTAATCCTCTGCCCTCACATTTAAAGTATGCCTATATTGGAGCAAGTAATACCTTACCTGTGATCATTTCTTCTATGCTTACAGGTACTGAAGAGGATAAACTGCTGAGAGTGCTGAGGTTGCACAAGGAAGCCATTGGATGGTCAATTGCAGACATTAAGGGCATCAGTCCTTCCATATGTATGCACAAGATCCTATATGAAGACGATGTCAAGCCAACCGTTGAAGGAAAAAGAAGGCTCAACCCAGTCATGAAGGAAGTGGTAAAAAAAGGAGATTATCAAGCTGCTGGACGCTGGAATCATCTTCCCAATATCTGACAGCAAGTGGGTGAGTCCAGTACAGTGCGTGCCCAAGAAGGGAGGAATCACAGTAATAAAGAATGACCTCCAGGAGCTGATCCCTACAAGGCTGAACAACTCGTGAAGAGTGTGCATTGACTACAGAAAGCTTAATAAAGCTACGAGAAAGGACCACTTTCCCCTTCCCTTTATTGATCAAATGCTAGATAGATTGGCTGGATCCATGTATTATTGTTTCCTTGATGGTTTCTCAGGTTACAACCAGATTGCCATAGATCCTGATGATCAAGAGAAGACGACTTTCACCTGCCCCTATGGCACATTTGCCTTCAAGAGAATGCCATTTGGACTGTGCAATGCACCTACAACATTTCAAAGATGCATGATGGCCATTTTCTCTGATATGGTGGAAAACGTAATTGAGATCTTTATGGACAACTTCTTGGTTTTTGGTAAGTCATTTGATGCATGCCTGGACTACTTCTCGGTTTTTGGTAAGTCATTTGATGCATGCCTGGACAACCTTGGACTGATACTGAAGAGATGCATAGAAGCCAACTTAGTCCTCAACTGGGAGAAGTACCATTTTATGGTGACTGAGGGGATTGTCTTGGGACATAAGATCTCACAGGAAGGAATTGAAGTGGACAAGGCAAAGATTGAAGTCATAGAGAGGCTCAGCCCACTAACCACAGTCAAGGGAGTAAGGAGTTTCTTAGACCATGCCGGTTTTTTACAGGAGGTTCATTAAAGATTTCTCAAAAATTTCTAAACCCTTGTGTAACTTGCTTGAAAAGGACACTGCTTTTATTTTTGACGAATCCTGTTTAAATGCATTTACTGAACTGAAAAAGAAACTCATCACTGCACCTGTAATCATCACACCTGATTGGTCACAACCTTTTGAACTAATGTGTGATGCTAGTGATTTTGCAGTTGGTGTTTTACTTGGACAGAGAAGGAACAAGTTGGTACATGTGGTTTACTATGCTAGTAAAACCTTTAACCCTGCACAAATCAACTACACCACTACAGAAAAGGAAATGCTGGCAATTTTTTTTGCATTTGACAAATTCAGAGCTTATTTGCTAGGAATGAAAGTCATAGTCTCTACAGACCATGCTGCCATCAGGTACTTGATCAATAAAAAAGAGTCTAAGCCTAGGTTGATTAGATGGGTGTTGTTGTTACAGGAATTCGATTTGGAGATAAAAGACAGAAAGGGTGCGGAAAATCAGGTAGCAGACCATCTGTCAAGACTTGAAGAGATTCCAGAAGACACAACTCCAATTTCAGAAAAATTCCCCTGATGAGTCACTCTGGCGAGTGACAGGCACACTCATGGGAGTGACAGGTAACAAGCCTTGGTTTGCAGATTTTGCTAACTTTGTTGCTGCTGGTGTTATTCCCCCAGATTTCACCCCTTAACAATGCAAGAGATTCCTTCATGATGCTCAATTCTACCTATGGGATGAACCCTACTTATTCAATAGATGTGCAGACCAGTTGATCAGAAGGTGTATTCCAGAATCTGAGTTCACAGAAGTATTGCACAAATGCCACAGTTCTCCCTATGGTGGACATTTCAACGGTCAAAGAACGGCAATCAAGGTTCTGCAAGCTGGACTGCATTGGCCAACTCTATTCAGAGATGCACGTGAATTTGTCAAAAGGTGTGACCGGTGCCAAAGGACAGGAAACAATTCCTGGAAGAATGAGATGCCACAGCAGAACATGCTTGAAGTAGAACCGTTTGATGTATGGGGGATAAATTTCATGGGCCCCTTCGTGTCATCCTTTAGGAACTCCTACATCCTACTGGCAGTAGACTACATTTCAAGATGGATAGAAGCCATAGCTGCAAGAAACAATGATGCCAAGACTGTTCTCAGGTTTCTAAGGAAAAACATTTTTGCCAGATTTGGTACACCCAGAATGATACTCAGTGATGAAGGATCACACTTTTGTAACAAGTCATTTGCCACCACGGTGAAGAAATATGGAATCAGGCATAGAGTATCAACACCATACCACCCACAATCAAACGGGCTAGCAGAAGTGTCAAACAAGGAAGTGAAAAGAATCCTGGAAAAGGTTGTCAACTCTACTAGAAAGAATTGGTCCTCAAAGTTGGATGAAGCTTTATGGGCATACAGAACAGCATATAAAACCCCTATTGGTATGTCCCCGTTCAAACTAGTCTATGGGAAAACATGCCACACACCAGTGGAGTTGGAACATAAGGCTTACTGGGCAATCAAGGAGCTGAATCTTGATCCAAGCAAAAGCAAGGAACTGAGATTGATGCAATTGAATGAGCTGGAAGAATTCAGACTGGAGGCATATGAATCGTCCAGAGTTTACAAAGAGAAAACTAAGGCTTACCATGATCAACACATTGTCAAGAAGGACAAGAGGTCTTGTTGTACAATTCCAGGCTGAAATTCTTCCCAGAAAAGTTGAGGTCAAGATGGACCGGACCCTATAATATCAACAAGGTTTTAAACCGAGGAGCAGTTGAGATCATGAATCCCCAGAATGGCAACACCTTTTTGGTTAATGGTCAGAGGCTTAAACCATACCTTGGATGGACAGAAGGGAGTAAAGGACAGAACTATCATGTTCTCATCCTGAAGGAACTTAACTTAAAACGCTTTTGAAGTCTGGAATGAGACTTTAAACCAATGCGCTTTATGGGAGGCAACCCATCTCTTTTGATTTGGCTTGACTAAATTTTGTAATAATGGCATTAATTTTGCAGGAACATAGAGGAATTTTTCATCCCAACTTGATTTCAGAAAATGCAGAAATGGCAGACACTCAGGTAACTCACTCACGAGAATGAAAAAAGGTCATTCAGCTGAGTGAGCCAAGCTTAACTTACCAATGTGAGTCATTCAAACCCTGACGTCACTCACAAAAGTGGGACAACTCACTCGCCTGAGTAGGTACAACTGTATAACCCTTTCTGCTCTATTCTTTTGGACTTAAAATTGGAATTTAAGTTTGGGGGGGGAAAATTTCCCGAAAAGTTTTCAAATTTTGAAAAATCCAACCGATTCTGTTTAATGCCCCCTAGTCAGCCACAACTTCCTAGGTTTAATTATGACAGCATAGAACTCTTCCTCTCCCTTTTCTTCATTAAAACCCCTTGGCCTCTTCAAATACCACTTCCCTGTATGAACGTACTAACAATTTCTCTGAGTCAAGCAACTAAAGTAAAAATTCAGATTCAATCAAAAACCCCTCTTTCAAATTGCCAATTCAATTTCTAGGGTTTGTACAAGATGCCGCCGGCCAGAAGGAAAGTTGCTGCCCGCAAGAGAGCTTCAAACACCAGAATCATAAGCTCTTTTCAAAGCTCACTGGAAGGGCAAGGAGTGCCCACCCCACCACCATCCCCTGTCAGAGAACCTACTCTGCCGCCGCCTCCTCAGCCACCAAGGGCTCTGCAAGAATAAGCCCTTGACGCTCTCATAGACGAGTGGGAGCCAAGATTGTTCCCAAGGAAGAAGGGCTGGATTTCTTTTTGAAGCACATACGGCGAAAAATCATTACCGAAAGGGGAATCAGTGAAGACGGCGTAGCTTTCACCTATATCAAGCACCATGGCTGGGAGACCTTCTCCAACCCACTTGTCAAGCCTAGGATGCAAATTGTGCAAGAATTCTATGGCAACTTCCACACTGCCCCCAGAGACGGAGTATTTGTCAGAGGCATCACCGTCAATTGCAGCACAGAAGCTATTAGGGCCATCTGGAAACTGTCAAGAGTCAGCACCGATTACAGAGACACTATCGCTGCCCTGCATCCGAATCAACCACTGGAACAAGCCGTTCTATCTAGATTGGCAAAAGAAGGCACAAGCTGGGAGATGGATGATCAAGAAAACTCTCTGGGATTTCTAACAAACGTGTTGCAGACGCCTGATCTGAATTTGTGGCACCATTTCATCTGCTGCAATCTGATGCCAACATCCTACACTACTAAGGTCACCTATGAGATGGCTCTGCTACTGTATGCCATTGTCACGGACACACCATTTGATGCAGCCTCAGTCATCAGAGATCAACTCACCAGATGCATCACTGATCCAAAGGTGAAGAGCTGGTATTTTCCAGTTATGATCACCATGCTTTCCAAAAGGGCAGGGGGTCACGTTTTTGAGCACAGACAATGAAAGCAGCCTCCAACAACCGTTGAAGCTATCTAAATTGGACCAGAGACCCCCAGGTGCATCTTCCCTAAGACAAGCAGGACAAGCAGTACCCACCCCTACTCCAGCTGGACAGTTGAGGCAGAGAGACTTCAACAAGCAGACCAAGTTCATCCTGGATTATGTCCACCAATGCCAGATGAGGACTGAGAAATTCCTGTGCAGGAAAGGCACAGGTGCATTGGATGCCCTGAAAATTGCCCAATGCCGCATGATCCACCAGCCCATCCACTCCATGGCATGCCTCCATGAACACTCAGGGAAGTGTTGTTCTGATACCCCTAATCAGCAATTTATTTTTTTGTTAAAATCGTGAACTTTTTTTTAATTTTTGTGGTTTTTAGTTGCTTTCTGTTTAATGTGTCTTGCTATGTTTGTTTTGTCAAGCATTGAGGGCAATGCTTAGAATAAGGTTGGGAGGGGGGGGGGTAGTAGAGTAGTATTGGTATGGTTGTCAAGTTTTTAAATTCAGGTCCCTTAGGTTCATGTCTAGATCGAGTCTGTAAAATCTCTCTCAAAAATAAAATGAAATGAAAATTTTCTAAGGAGCTGTCAACAGTCTAGGATGATAATGGTTTTGTAAAAGTTTTGCTAAACCACTTTTGATACTGAGTCTGATGCATGAAGGAAAGAATGGCTGACACTCACTCACACACATGAACAATGCCACTCGTGGAAGTGATTGCCTAGAACATAAAGTTTAAAAATTTGTTATGACTAATCCACTGTTGTGAGCTGTGTCTAGTTTTGAGCTACAAATAGATGAGAGATGCCGTAAATCTGAAACTTCCCTTGTGGTATCCATTCACAGCCTGTTTGTCATTTGAAAAAAAAATTTAGGGAATGGATCAACTGAAACCTTAGGGGTAACAGCAAGGAACCACCACAAAAAGTTCCAAACTGTTGGAGTAATAAGGGTTGAGGCATAAGGCAGTGGAGAGATAAGGTTGAATAACGCCCCTGTTAGGTTGGTCCATCTACATTCCTATAAAGTTTTTCTACATTAAAAAAAAAAAAGCAGAAAGGCTGTGCAGGAAGTCCATGATTGAAGCCTCAGTAGGTAAATCGAGTCGAAGTAACTTGGGCAAGACTAGATCACAAGAATGACCACTAAAAGTTTAACCGGTTAACTTAGAATGGATTGGTAGGATTGGCATGAACTAACACTTGTGGCATGTATTCTAATTCCATGTGAAGGTTGGTTGTTTGAATCTGGATTGCAGAAAGATTTGATGTCTTTAAGTGTATGTTTTCTTTACTTGAATCTGAGACAATAGGTTGGTAGCTCCTATCCAGTTTGTGTTATGATTGTTTCTATGTTCAGTGTCACATGCCTGAGAGAGAATCCTCACTCAGGGGAGTAAGTCAGTCTTCAGTCATTTTGACAATGTTGTTTTCCCCTGTTTCTTATGTGCAATTCTGTAAGTGCCAACAAGAGTTTAGTTGTTTTGCTTGAGGACTAGCAATTCTTCCAGTTTGGGGGAGTTGATAATGGATTATTTGTTACAGAAAAATATCACAATTAACTCTGAATTTAGTAAGAAATTGGGGGGTATTTCCTATTATTACTACATTCTACTTAACTAGTTTTCGTGTTTTTATTAGGTTGGGGGTTCGATTGAACAATTGCTGAAAAATTGAGGCCAAAGGAACAAATTGTGGGCTGCTGATGCAATTTTTGCTGAGCTGGACGAAAAAGTATCTCCCAAGACAAGAAGCATCTTGCCATTAATGAGTATGTCTCTCATTTGAATTCCAAGAGGCATGCTTGTCCCTCAGCCAAAATTCCAGCCACCCCTGCTGATCAATGAGATTAATGTTGCAACTACTGGAAGAAGAGAAGAAGACCAGTCAAGTTTGGATTCCAGGTACAAGGCATAGGGAGGATTAAATAATTCACAAGCATGGGAGGCCCTCATGATTAAAGAACCGGCTGCAAGGCTCTATAAAAGGGGAAGTTCACTCTCTGAAGAAATCATCTATCTCTTTGGTTATCCTTTCAGTTGCCAAAAACACACAGAAAAACTCCAGGAAGAAGATAAGAAGGAAGAAGGAGCAACACCCACTCAGTAAGGAAGCCAAGTTGAAGAACAGCCATCCTAGTTTCTGCTTCAGTTCCATGAGTGAACCCTTTCACTCTCAGGAGTGGCTCAAAACTGCACAAGCTTTTTTCTCGTCTCCTGACTGTTAGCTTGAACTTCGTTTTATTATGCATACTTCTATGATGTCTTTTGATGTAGTAGATGTAGCATTAATCTGCATGAGTAGCTAAGCAGCTTCTAGGGGTTATTCTCTTCAACCTATGTTGTAGTTGTGTAATGCACTGGTTCTGTTCCTTGTTTTGAAGTTGAAAGTTTTTCTACATTCATTTACTTGATCACTAAATTGAATACATGCTAGAACTAAGGGAGATCTGGAAGGATAAACTTGGTTTGGATTGTTTCAACTTTAACTTAGGACATAGAGGTAACATTCTATGGTTTTAACTAAGATAGGAATATACTTAGTTAACATAAGTATCCATGAAGGCCTGAGAATTTAATGACTTTGTAACTGGAATAAATCATTGGAAAATAGATTGTTAAGGTTGCAAAGATGACTCTAGGAAGAATGGGAACTGACTTAGAGTTATAAGTGAGCTGAATCAACAAGAACTCAACCATTACAGTGCTAATAAACAACCACAACAGTAGGAAGAGGAGATGAACACCCCTGGCTTTCATTCCCCTGAGTGACTGTCTCCATTCCCCTGAGTGACACCTTGTCTGACTGGTAGTCTTTCTTTACAACAAATTTGGTAATTAGTTGTCCTAGTGGGATCGACCTAGCTTCTATTATCTACAAAAATCATAATCTAAGCTAGTAATATTTTTGTTGAACTCGGCACGCACCACCTCTAATTTTAGACCCTAAACTATCACGTCACATTTTATATTACACTTACTGCCAGGCATTCAACTTTTTGGATATTTGTTATTATTTTTTAAAGCTTAACTAACACCCTAACAACCATTATTATTAAATAACTACGTGTAGACAAAATAATTAAACATGCCAAAATTGAATTAGCATTACCGAATATGTAACGAAAAAATATGACATGAAATCCTAATTTATCAATTTTTAAATCTCTACTTCATCGCAATTCTTAATCTTCGTAGCTTGAAAAGCCAAATAATTCTTAGTGCAACTTTTCTGTTTTGTTATGAGCTCGATCTACCTCTTGGTAGACATGCCTTAGAGCAGAGACGGAGCTAGGAGTGGGGCAACAGGTGTGGTCGCGCTCCCTCCTTTTTTCTTTAATAATTCTAATCCCTTTACACTTCATGAAAGCAAATGACACTTAGGATACATGTTAATTTCACAGAACTTTTTTTCCCGCCAAAACAAAAAAATACATATTTTGCATAAGTAAAACGCCACATGTCCTGTGTTCATCCGGGAAAAAAAAATACCCCAAAAGTCCTCCATCGTTTTCGTTCGTAAAATGACAAATCAGGACGCATTAAATTCTGCCTCATCTTTCGCTTCAAATCCGAAAATGATTCTCCAAATCTTAACTCCATCGATCAAATTTCAATTTTTTTTAAAAAAAGAGATAAGTGAAGTTCAAATTCGTTTTTCAACTACGATTCTTCTCCTCTAAAAGAGCAATCTCCTCTTCTAGTACCCACCGCCGGCCTTCCTCCTCTCTCCTTCCTTCAAAATCTGACCAACCAATAAGATATCAGTTCCTCCTCAGTCTGCTACTTTCAAACTGAAACCCGGCCGTCTCCAGCGAGAGAAATATTAGAACTTTGAGATTGATTTGAAATAACTGGATTGACTATTACGGTTCTATTCTTCTATTGTTTTGAATCCGCAGAGAGAAATTTCAGTCCCAACGGCAAGATGATCGGTTCCTGGAATAATTGCCGATGAAACTAAAACCAAAGTCACTGATCTATTGACGACGAAAGGTAAACTCTTATGAATTAATTGTTCATAGGCCAGGAGTTTTAGCCTTAAGGAGGAGAATTTGTGAAGAAGAGTAAGCCCTTATTACACAGATCGATGAGCCAGGTGAGTTTTTAGATTCAAAATTAAAAATTTCAATTTCATTATCCAGTTGAGATTTCCAATCCAAAAGAGTAAGGTTTTTTATTTATTTATTTATTTTACTGGATTCATGAGTGGAGTAGTTTTAGTCTCTAAAATTCCCATTTCTTTCATCCAACGGTTGGTTTTGCGTTCGATATTTGGCTTAAAATTGCACGAAAATTTTCAGTTTTTTTTGTTGCATTCATGGATGAAGTTCTGGGTTAGATATTTTTTGGTTGAATTTTTATTTTATTTTATTAGCTCCCTCAAGTTGTAAAGGTGTTGGTGCTCTTAATCAAACTTTTGTTTTGGAAAACAGATATGTTTATATATACATATATATGTATATATATATATATTTGACCTAGAGATTCTGCATGTGATTTTTTTCTTTCAAAATCTGTTTCTGTCTTCAATGAATACATGTCAATATAGTTTTATGCGTTTTGGTTTTTAGGATACTTCTGCTCTGTTTGCTGATCAGCCATATATGTTTACATAAAGAGACAGAGTGTTTCATAGTGGTACTTTGAATGACTTTCTGTTATTTCGTTGTGGTATAATTGATAAATTATTATTCCATCATAAAAATTTGATTAATGCATTAAAACCAGAATTTAATCTTCAAATAAACCCAACAATGGAGGGTTTAATTGTTGCAATGTTACTTATATGAACCGCAGTTATAATAACATTCTCCGGGTATTTGCATATTGGTGGCTACAACCGGAACATCGAGGCCACAGCGAAAAAATAGTAATTGATGATGATTGGTTTCAATTGATATGGTCTGAATTTTGGTAAATCTTGGTCACGAGAAGCATGGATTGCAGATCCCAAATTCGATGGTGGTACTGACTGCTGATCGGATCCCTTCTCAAATTCGGTCAGTACAATAGTAGTTCCAAGTTCCCTTTCTAAATAGACTCTGCTGTGGAGTTATTTTCTTTCTCATATTTGACATGGAATATACTATATGGTTTAAACTACTTTTGAGGAAAATTTAATTTATAATTTACATTTGAGAGCTTTCGTAATTTATATCGATTGAATTTAGTTTTATCCAGTCTTGCTTGAACAAACCTTTTGTCAGCTGTTTCAGAAATAATAGACATCTTTATATTATTTCTGAAACAACTGACAAAAGGTTTATATAAGCAGGACTGGGATAAAAAAAACGTGAAGAAAAACAAAAGGAAAAGCGGAGCTTGTTAAGGGAGATAAGATTTTAGCCTGTCGCAAAATGTAACGAAGCACTACAATGAGGAATCACCATTGCAACCCTCCAAGTGTTCCATTAAGGATATTAGGACATCAACAAGATATGTCTATGTTCTTTTGTTTTTCTCACTGAAACATTGATTGCGTGATTTTGTCATTAATTTCCATATCCTATTGTTTGTGGCTTGGAAATCTCTGTGTGTTTTGTGAGTTTCTATATCAAATATACCATGCATTGGATTTGAGGGTGTTTTTGATAAATTATATAGATTGAATTTAGTTTTCCAGCATTCACAATTACTAAGCTTAGCATTTGAGATTTTTGACATGAGAAGTATTATGGATGAAGATTATATCATTGTTGTAGGAACTGGGTGTTGCTAAAAAAATTAAATCTATTTGTCAATTTTAAATCTGTTTAAAGTTGTTTGAATTTTGGATGTAAAGATTGCATTTTTATTTGAGTTTAGCCACTTTCTTTAGGAGTTACTTTTAATTCAAATTTGTTTTATTGAAATAATTAGGTGGCAAAGTTGCTGGATCCTGAAGGGATTTATTTCAATTCGAAATCATTACACATGAGAACAACCCGAATAGGAGTAAGAAGGGTCTTGATGTTGTTTTGGGGAAAGAAAATGCAGTGTTGATTCTTGATGACAGGGAGTTTTTGGAAAGTCCACCTTGATAACCTGATACTGATGGAAAGATACAAGTTTTTTTGTTCAGGTTTTAAGGCAGGAGGAACTATTGATGGAGTTGAAAATGAGGCTAATGGAGTTCTTGCTTCAATTCTCAAAGTTCTTCAAAAAATTCATTGTAATTTTTACGATACCGATGATTGGGATACTCTATTGAATAGTGATGTGACGTGGGTTTTGCAAGAAGTTAGAAAGGAAGTTTTGAAAGCTTGCAAGATTGTCTCCGGTGGGGTGTTAAAGCCGGGTTCTAAGCCTGAAAAGCAACATTACTGGAAATTGAAAGAGCAATTGAGGGCTATATGTGCTACAAAATGTGGCCCCTCGGTAACCCATGTGATTTCTTTGGATTCTACATCAGATCACTCCAGTTGGGCAATCCAAGAGAAGAGATTTTTGGATAATCCAGATTGGATTGATGCTTCCCGCTACTTGTGGCAAAGGCAAGCTGAAGAAAAATTCTCTGATAAGGCTGCTACTGTTGCTATTGATAATGACCCGAAGATCGCCCCGATAACAATTTATTCGGTTGAGTTTTGTTGATGGATCAATTACTATGTGATTGATCATCATGTGCCAAGTTGTTTGAGGCTATGGAATATAGATTATGGGTGCCATTATGTGATTGAATGTCATGTGTCAAAAGACCACAATGTTCGTTTTCAGTTCCTGCAAAATTGGTGTACAAACTCATCATTTTTATGCTATTGCTCAATTGTAAAAAATTATCCATTTCTTCCCATTTTAGTAGTCAATTTTGGTTTTCATAGAACAAAAGAGTAACATAATTATCAATATTGAAGAGTATGTGTAGAGGTCAAGATCAATTTTTTCTACTTTAAAGTGGTAAATATGTCTCACAATATATGAAACGAAGTCTTTATTCCACAAATTCTGCAAACTACTAATAATAAAAAAAAAACTCAACATCATTTTTCACAATCAGAATCCCCGCCTCTATACATAATTTTTCTGGAGTAACAAACAACATCTAACGGTCTCATCTCACTTCACTTTCACCGTTCTTCCCTTAGTTTTTCTTTTGGGTTTTGATAATATTTTGAGGAAATTTGGTTCGCTTGTTTAGTGCAGAATGTGGGAGCTTTTGGTATTTTTTTCAATTCTTTGTTTTTTTTTGGTCATAGAGTAGTATATATTTTGATTATATATCAATTTATTAAGCGAGACCACCCAGGTGTTTGCCTGGGCCAAGCATCTAGTTTTTTATTAAAGGAAACAATGAAATTAATTCATCTTGCACCCTCTTTAAATATTATAAAAATGTTTAATAAATTTTTATTAAAGAATTTGAGATAACATCATATTACTCCATATAAATGTTAAATAAATATCTTAAATAACAAGTTACGATTGTCTTTATTAAATTTCAAAGTTATGAAAATAATAATGATATAAAACCCTTTAACAACAATGGTATAAATAAATAATTATTATTCAAAGCCCAACACATATTTGTAATTGAATGAAGTGAGGCACAGGTCCATACAATTGTAAGAGCAAAAATGAGAAGGTTTTAGTAGGCTAAAAAGTTTAATAAAAACGTAACTAATGAGGTTTATCAACCAATTAAATCTTCATTGGTCATGTCTATTAGTACAAAAAAGATTGACAAGTTCTCAAGTTACTAATTTTCTTGTATTGTTTTCATATAATATAAAACGTATTAGCAAAAAATTTTATTATTTTTAAAATTTTTTTTGTGATTTCGTTGACGATTAAAGATGTAAACATGTCTACGTACGATTGGAAGTGTATGCTAAAATTAATTTTAGATTTTGGAAATTTTAGTACTATTTTTATGGCTTTTGATTTTTTAAATTCAGTTTTACCTATGTCAAATGGACTTCCTGGCATATAAAAAATTAATAGATAAATAATTAGTCGAAAGTTATAATGATATAATAATTTATAGTTTTTGGGGTATAGCTTTCCTTGAGCGAGGGAAAAACAATTTAGTAAATTTTTAATATTTAAATATTTGTTTAGGTTTTAGTACATCTATTTTGTTGATTTTATTTTCCACTCCCTAAGTCAAAATTCTAGCTCCGCCACTACTTTAGAGGTTACTCACCAATTTGATGTTTACTAATATTTAGCTATATAATTAAAACAATTTCTTGTTAATTTATAGGTTAAATGACACAAAAATAAGAAAAACTCAGAAGTTCACAATGAATAAAGGAAAAAAAAAATCGTAAAAATCTTCACCAATCTAGCATGGCAGCTCCAATGCATAATACAAAATCAACCTTAACATTCAACATTGTCTTTGATTTTTACATAATATACATCGGACAAAAATATATATAATAGAAATTTCCAGCTTAATTAATTATGCGTCTAGACTGGAAAAATAAAGCCAAAATTATGGTTGCTGAAGAGAAACTTGATGACAGTAAAATATATACACTTTTAGCAGGCATTTTCTGCTCATTTTTACTTAGTATTAGGTGTCAATTAGTTAGAATTAGTTTACTTTTGGGGTGATTTTGCAGTTCATGTATCTCAGAGGAAAATTAACATAAAAGAGGGCCAAATTGTACAAAAGGACATCAAAATAGACTGGAATGGAAGCTGCTGGAGGATCGATCAGAGCTTAAGCAAGTGGAGAAATCCTTGTTGGTGGAAGGAAGATTGATAGCAGATGGACTCAAGTGGAAGACTCTGCAGTAGCTACCTCAATAGAGGAAGAAGAAGTGGCAGCTGCTCTGCTGCCAAGTTGCTGCTGCAGTAGTTGCTGTTGCTGCTGCCAATCAGGAAGAGCCAAGACTGAATTCTTGCTGCCAAAAGAAGGAATTGTTTCTCCATCATTACAAGTTATAGCTGCTGCAAGTTGAAGAAGAGAAAGATGAATATGTGGAAAACAACAGCTATAACCTGCTATTTGCCTGCTGTGATTGCTGCTGCTGAATTGATGGATTGGCTGCTGCAGTCTGGTGAGAAATGGTGTTGCAAGTGATCACAGGAAACAAAGAAGGAAAAGGCAGACCGATTTGGGCTGAATTGGGGGTTGAAACACAATGATGGAAGGAAGCATGCTGTTGATGCTGCTGCTTGCTACTACTACTAGTTGAGCGGCTGCAGATTAAAGAATGAAGAAATAGAGATTTGTGGCTGGAAATTGGAGAAACTGCGCAGGAGAAGAAGACTAAAAGAAGAAGGTAATGATGAGAGGAAGGTGGCTGATTGCGGCTGAAGAGAAGGAGTAGCCAAAGAGAAGACTGCAACTTGCCAACTAGGCAAGTAGCTGAATAAAAAAACCTCTACTGCTGCAAGTTGCTACCTCACCTTTCTGCTGCAGAGAAGAAGGCCAGAAACCTACCAATCCAAACTTCTCCAAATCTCTATAAATAGTCAGCCAATAGCAGTTAGAAAAATAACAGATTGAGTAGTTAGATTTAGTCACAAAGACAATAGTTAGGTAGTTAGTTAGTAGGTTAGAAACATGATAGTAGCAGGAACAAGGAGACGGACTGTCACTTTGTCAAGTGGCGAACGCCACTCGCCATAGTGAGCAGACAGAAACTGTCCTGCTTCCATCTTCCCTTTCTTTCCTCTAACCTTTTGATCTAGATTTATGTCTTATCTTTTGTACTTTGTTGCTCTCATGTTTAACTCAATAAACATGAGTAGCTAACTCAGTTAAGGGTTCAAACCCTACTATCTTTATGTGAAGGTTTTGATTCAGTTTCCTTGATGAGGTGTTGTGCCTAGATAAGTGATTTAATTAACCTTTTAATTAACTTGGCCACTTAATTAAATGTGCTTGCATGGTTTTGAAGATCTGGAAGGGAGAGCATAACCTTAGAACAGCTTAATCTAGTCTATGACAATAGAGGAAATCTACCATGTGGTTTCAAACATCAACGGAAGTTAGGTGAATGGCATAGGCGATCAAAGAGGGCTTAAGAACTCAATGGCTTAGATTAATGAATTACTCTGATTGGAAGGTAGGTGATTTAGATAATTTAGGACTCTTTATTCTGTCTGGAAGGAATTATAAAGAATATGAGTGCCTGATCGACCAACTAATCATACATTACATGAATATTTGAATCAAAACTGGATCATAAAGGTAGGGAGGTGATTGACCCTTCTGCCTCTTCACTCTATCAAGTGACTATTCTCACTCTCCCAAGTGACAATCTATTCAACTCATTTTCTTTCCTTCTACACTTTAATCAGATTTTGAGCGCTTGACTGCCGTCTCTGTGGAACGGCCCTGCTTTCCACTAGATAATAATTTTGAGTAGGTTTGTAAATATTTCTTTTGGGAAGTGGTTCAACGACAATTCCACCAAATGTGGCGCCGTTGCCGGGGATGGCGTTAAAAATCCTTGAAGTCTGATTATTTTGTTCTATTTTTGTTCTTTTTAATTTTCTGTTTTTAATCAAATTCACTCAAATAAAAAATCTTGTTATTATTATTCTTTGTGTTTTGATTATTGGTTTATGGTTAGAAGAAATCCATCAGGAGAGCTAAGTTTTGATCCAGAGATTGAAATTAAGGCAAGAAGATCCAAAGCCTTGCGAAACAGAGAAGCTGTTGCTCATGTTCTTAAAAACCAGAAGCAAATGGCAGAGTAGTAGCATTTGATCAACCTCAAGAAAGAGAGCTACAACCAGCTCCACCCAGACTGCTAAGAGATTATTTTGTACCTCAAGAGGAGGAAGTTCAAACTCCACTGGTGTACAATGATGTTGTAGCAGAGAAATTTGAGCTCAAAACTCAAATGATTCAATTGGTGCAAGCTGTTTGTCCTTTCTATGGACTGCCTAGTGAAGATCTCAATGAGCACATCAGGAAATTCCTGAGACTGTGTAGCACCTTCAAGATCCAAGATTTGTCCAAAGATGATGTTTACTTGAGATTGTTTCCATTCACACTGCAAGATTTAGCAGCAAACTGGTTGGACACTCTGCCCAACAATTCAATCAACTCCTGGAATAGACTCAGACAAGCATTCCTTACCAAATTCTTCCCACCTGTCAAGGCTGCTGCTTTAAGATCGCCATCGTGACTTTTTAGCAGCATGGGACAGAAACTCTTTATGAGGCCTAGGAAAAATTTAAGTATCTGATGAGGAAGTGCCCTCAACACAGTGTAGAAAAGCCAATGGAGCTATGCATTTTCTACAATGGATTGCAGCAAGCCTCCAGAAAATCACTTGATTCAACATCTGGAGGAGCATTCATGATGAAACATGTGGAAGAAGCAATCCAGCTACTGGAGAATATGTGTGGTAACCATTTCAGATGACAGAAGGAGCCTAGAGCTATAGCTAAGAAGGCAGGAGTGATGGAGCTAGATGCTATAACTCACTTGCAAGCACAAATGACAGCCATCACCAGTGAGATATCAAAGCTAAGAGCTGACATCAACAAACCAAAGATTGATGTATGTGAAATCTGCATAGGATCTCACCCCAGCTCTACATGTCAAGCCACTATGGAGGAAGTTCAATTCGTGAGGCAAGGAAATGACAGAGGAGGCTTCAACAGTTATAGCAATTGGAGGCCACAATAGAATAACAACTGGACAAATCAGCAGTTGAGCTATCAGAGGTCAGCTCAACCACCTGGATTCCAAAATCTACCATTTGGAATCGAGGAAAAAGACTAGATAGAGGTAATATATGCCCTTGTAAATCTTGATGTTATCATTGAGGAATTGCAGGAGCAGATCGCATGGATGACTAGAAGGGTATCAGGCAGCACTAGGGGAGAGGATTCCATGGAGACTAAGTAGGCCAATGCAATGACACTTAAAAGTGGGAAGCAGCTGCCAGGACCTAGTGCAGTAGTCTCAAAGAAGAAGAGTAGAGAGAACCAAGATGTAGAGTCACCAAAAAAAGAAACTGCAAAGGGAGACAACCAGGAGGATAAGAACACCCCTGTCATCGACTTAACGGAGGAACATCAACCGTTAAGGCGACCACCTCCATATGAGCCTAAACTACCATTCCCAGTATGAGATCCAAAGAAGAATGCAGAATCTGGAATGAAGAAATTTGTTCAGAACCTGGAGAATCTTCACATCAATGTCCCTTTGATAGATGCTTTGCGACAAATGCCGAAATACTTCAAGCATCTAAAGGAGCTGGTGACAAGTAAACCAAGGATCCACAACTGCTCATTCATTACTCTGCACGAGGAATGCAGTGCAGTGCTTCAAAAGAAGCTACATGCAAAACTCAAGGATCCAGGGAGCTTTACTCTACCATGTACAGTAGGGAATATGAGTATCAAGAAGGTCCTACTTGATTTGGGAGCAAGCATTAATCAAATGCCCCTTTAGGTTTTTAAAGCATTGGAATTTGATAAGGTGCTAACTCCCACCAACATCACTCTCCAGCTGGGTGATAGATCACTTACCTACCCAAAAGGTGTGATCCATGACATACTGGTAAGAGTTGGAACATTTATATATCCAGCAGATTTCGTGGTGCCAGATATGGAAGAAGATACAGATGTCTCTATCATCCTTGGGAGACCATTCCTTGCGACCTGTGATGCTGTGATTGAAGTTAAGAAGAGAGCGGTCACCTTACAGTTCGACGGAGAAAAGGTAACCTTTAATATCTTCGATAGTATAAAATTTCCTGCAGAAAAGCAACAATGTTTAAGGATTGACACTGTCGAGATGGCTATAGAGGAAGCTTGTGCAGTCCATGCTGAACCAGATGAATTGCTAAGGTTCTTAACCCAAGAAGAAATGGAGGAGACACAACCCCCTGCAGGAGAGAAAGAGGAGGCAGTCACTTTGGCAAGTTACCTTGATTACTCGCCAAAATGTTCTGTTAAGCAGACAATTGGAATCTTGGATATGTCCAAGGAAAAAAGAAGCCTCAAGCCATCTATTGAAGAGCCACCGATGATAGAATTAAAGCCATTGCCAGCTCATCTTAAGTATGTCTACTTAGGAGAAGGTAATACCATACCTGTAATTATCTCATCCACTCTCACAACAGTGCAAGAAGATCAATTGCTCGAGGTACCGAAGAAGCACAGAGCAGCAATTGGGTGGACAATTGCCAACATAAAGGGCATTAGACCCTCGATGTGCATACACAAGATACTGTTGGAAGATGGTGCGAAACCCACTTTTGAAGGATAGAGAAGGCTAAACCCAACAATGAAAGAAGTGATAAAAAGGGAGATAATCAAACTACTGGAAGCAGCCATCATATATCCAATTTCAGATAGCAATTGGGTGAGCCCAGTGCAATGTGTGCCAAAGAAAGGAGGGATAACAGTCATGAAGAATGACCAGAATGAGCTGATCCCCACCAGAGTGGTCAATTCATGGAGGGTGTGTATGGATTACAGAAAGCTTAACAAGGCAACCAGAAAAGATCACTTCCCCTTACCTTTCATCGACCAAATGTTGGACAAGTTAGCAGTTCATCAGTATTATTTTTTTCCTGATAGATTTTCAGGGTACAACTGAATTCCTATTGCACCAGAAGACCAGGAGAAAACAACGTTTACATGTCCTTATGGCACCTTTGCCTTCAGAAGGATGCCATTCGGCTTATGTAACGCTTCTGCAACTTTCCACCGATGTATGATCTCACTTTTTTCAGATATGGTGGAGGATATCATCGAGGTATTCATGGATGATTTTTCAGTTTTTGGTAATTCTTTTGATAACTGTCTCAATAATCGAAGGAAAGTTATGAAAAGGTACATTGACACTAATCTAGTCCTAAATTGGGAAAAATGTCACTTCATGGTGACCGAAGGAATAGTTCTTGGCCATAAAATTTCTGCTGATGAAATTGAGGTTGACAAGGCCAAAGTAGAAGTCATTGAGAAAATGGATCCTCGTGGATCTGTCAGAGGAATTCGTAGTTTCCTCTGGCATACAGGATTCTACAGAAGGTTTATTAAGGATTTCTCTAAAATCTCAAAACCACTTTGTAACTTGTTGGAAAAAGATGTAGCATTCATCTTTGATGAGGATTGTATGAAGACCTTTACAACATTGAAGGAAAAACTCATCTCTGCCCCAGTGATCATAACCCCTGACTGGACTCAGCCATTTGAACTCATGTACGATGCTAGTGACTTTGCAGTAGGGGTAATGCTGGGACAGCGAAGAGATAAGGTCCTTCATGTAGTATATTATGCCAGTAAAACATTAAATCCAGCCCAGGTAAATTATTCCACCACCGAGAAAGAAATGTTAGCTATCGTCTTTGCTTTTGATAAGTTTATGTCACACTTGCTTGGAATGAAAGTGATAGTGTACACTGATCATGCTGCAATCAAGTACTTGGTCACCAAGAAGGATTCAAAACCAAGGCTAATCCGATGGATACTGCTCTTACAAGAGTTCGATTTGGAAATCAAGGACAGGAAGGGGACTCTGAACCAGGTAGCAGACCATCTATCAAGATTGGACGGGAAGCAACAAGACTATGAGCCAATTCAGGAGAAGTTCCCAGGTGAGCAACTCTGGGGAGTGGAGGTGAAGCTTGCCCAAGTAACAGACAACATGCCATGGTATGCTGATTATGCTAACTATATTGTTGGCAACATTGTCTCTACAAATTTAAACAGGCAGCAAACAAAAAGATTCCTTCATGAGGCTAAATCCTATTTCTGGGAGGAACCCTATTTGTTTAAAATCTGTGCGGATCAGTTGATTAGGAGATGCATACCAGCAAAAGAGACTAGAGCAATAATAGAAAAATGTCACTCATCCCCCTATGGAGGTCATTTCAGTGGACAGAGGATTGCTGCCAATATCTTACAATCAGGTTTTTTTCTGGCCTACACTGTTTGCCGATATTAACAAGTTTGTTAAGTGTTGTGATAAATGTCAGAGATTAGGAAATTTGTCCTGGAGAAATGAAATGCCTCAGCGAATGATGTTAGAAGTGGAATTGTTTGATGTTTGGGGAATCGACTTCATGGGTCCATTCATCCCCTCAAACAACAACACATGTATCCTTCTGGTAGTAGACTATGTGTCCAAATGGGTAAAAGCAGCAGTAGTCCAGTCTAGCGATTCCAAAATGGTGATTAAGTTATTGAAAATAAATATCTTCGATAGATTTGGAACTCCTAGAGTAATCATCAGCGATGAAAGATCGCATTTCCGCAGCAAACACTTCTCGGCTCTAGTACAGAAGTTTGGTATTCATCATAGAATGTCCACGTCATATCACCCTCAAACGAATAGTCAGGCTGAAGTATCCAACAGAGAAAATTAAGTGAATATTGGAGAAGGTGGTGTGCAATACTAGGAGGGATTGGTCATTCAGGCTCGATGATGCTCTATAGGCCTATAGAACAGCATATAAGACACCCGTAGGCATGTCTCCCTTCAAAATGGTCTATGGAAAGGCTTGTCACTTATCTGCTGAGTTGGAGCACACGGCTTTCTGGGCTATCAAAGCACTCAACTATGAAACAGAGGCAGCACTGGACGGAAGATTGTTGCAATTAAATGAAATGGAGGAGTTCAGGGGAAATGCATATGAGTCGTCTAGACTATACAAGGAGAGGACCAAAGCACATCATGACAGAAGAATAGCAAAAAAGCAGCTGAAGAAAGGTCAGTTGGTTTTATTATTTAACTCTAAATTGAAACTTTTTCCAGGGAAGCTTAGGTCCAAGTGGTCAGGGCCATTTGTAATTACAAAAGTCCTCAGTCAAGGAGCAATTGAGCTGGCCAACTTAAAAACTGGCGATACATTCTGTGTCAATGGCCAGAGGGTAAAGCCATACAATCCCTTGGAAAAACCTAACTTACAGCACAGTGATGTGTTATATCTCAAGGAATTGGAGTAAAGATACCAAGGAGTTTGACATGAGACTTTAAACCAATGCGCTGCTTAGGAGGCAACCCAAGGTAAGTTACTTTTTATTCATAAAATCTTTAAGCAATTATATTCTGCTAAAATCTAATCAATCTGTGGTGAGATGTCAGAAAGAGTAGAAGTACTCTTATCAATCATTTTTCAGGATAGCAAGTTCAAACCCTAATCAGCATCACTCCCTCGAGTGACAAAACCCACTTGAGGAAGTGAAAATGAGCAGACAACCCAGAACAGTAAAGGGCACTAAGGGCAGTCGGAATAAACTTTGGGGGCAAATAGTGAAATTAGCATTAAATTGAGGAGCACAGCAGAAAAATCACACTTATCTTCCTCCCCAAAAGTTTAAAGGGATCCCAAACCCTCAATTTTCGGCAGAAGGATTCCACAACCATCAACCTCTCGCAAAATTACCCTCAAAAATCTTGAATCCATGGCCCCCAGGCAGAAAGTAGCAGCCAGAAAGATAAACAACAAAAAGCTACGCTTTAGAGTTATGCAAGAAGCACCTGCGGCACTACCACAACCACCGGTCATTCAACAAAAGGTTGCACAGAAGGCATTGAGGACCAAATTTGATCTTGCATTGTTCGTTTCTGAGGCCGCATGGAATTTCTTCGAGAGAACCACGAATCTGCCGGTGATAGTGGAAAGAGGAGTGGACACTGAGAGTGCATCGGCACTGTACATCTCACTATATAGGTGGACACGGCTGGCTAATCCTCTAATGGAGCCAAGGATGAATGTAGTAAGGAAATTTTATAGCAATCTAATAGAGGCAGAAGGAGACATGGTGTATGTGAGAGGAGGAAATATGGACATCAGCCCTGCCGCAATCAGAACCGCATGGAGCTTGCCAACGGTGGAAATAGACCTAGAGAAGGCACTGGCAGATCTGTGCAAGGATAAAAGCTTAGCAGATGTTCTCCTGAACGAGCTCTGTGAAGATGAGGATGGCGATTTGAGGTGGGAACTCAGAAAAAAAAAAAGGAACCCGTTACCATTTTCCTTACAGCTAGCTCCTCCCAGAAAACAAGTTGTGGCTCCACTTCATCTGCTCCAACATTATGCCTACAAGGTACACTACAAGAGTGATATGAAGTGGCGGAACTAATTTATGCCATTAAGACCTCCACTCCAATTGATCTGGGCACCATTCTGAGATAGCAATTAACTCGATGCATCACTGATGTTAAAGTTAAATGCTTGTGCCTACCCGTGTTGGTAACAATGTTGATGGCCGGGTCTGGTGTGACATTCACTCTAGAAGATATACAATTGCCTATCCCAACACTTTGGAGTTATAAGACATTAGCAAGGGAGCCAACCCCCAAGCTTTACGATGAGCCAGGACCAGTACCACATTGCAGAAGGAATGATTTTTCCAAGCAGCAGAACTATATGCTCAATTACATCTATCAGGAATTCCAATGGATCAACATGAAGCTCAAGCACATTCATGGTAAATTGGAATGCTCAAGCTCCTGCACAGAGATGGATGTCAGTCCACTGCATCCCTTTCAAGGGATGAACCCTTAATCACCCAGGGAAGTACTCTGTTTTTCTTTTTCTTTTTTCTTCTTTTATCTTCTGTTTCTTTTAATTAGGTCTGTTTTTGTGTTTTTCTATCTTGAGTCTATGCATCTAGAGTCCTTAGGCTAGATTGAGTCCACTTTGTATGATAATTTTTCTATTTTCTAGTTGAATTGCATTTCTGTGTCTTCCCCTGCATCTCTATTGTAAGCATTGGAGACAATGCTTATTTTAAGTTTGGAGGAGGGATTTGTATGTGTTGCATGTTTTAAACTTTGACAGGATCAAATTTTAAAAAATAACAAAAAAACTTTTAAGTTTATGTGCAATTGTGAACAAGTCTGTGTAAGTCTGTGTGTATACAGTGTCAAAAGTCTATGATGATTCAAAAATGTGCGGGAAATTTTGAAATTTTGAACACTTGTTGATTCACTTGAAGTCAGTTCCATAGTTCTTCACTTTCTCGAGCACATTGTGTCACTTGCCAAAGTCAGAGTTCTGAACTTAATGCTAAAATCTGAATACCTTAATTACATTGTTGTGATCTTATACTGAAGTCCACTTGTCTGAAACCTGGGGGGACTGAAAACCTGAGTGAAGACTAAGGCAGCCCTTCGCATCATGGCAGACTCTATAAGAGCCCATAGTGGTCTGTAAAAGCCTAAAACCTTGGGAAAGGGGATGGTAGGCGGTTCAAATGAGCTGAAAAGAAAAAAAAATCTGAAATGAGGGAAGTTAGGAAAACTGTCCAATGAGGCAGTAATACCCATGAGTGTTTAGGTTTGGCAAATAAATAGAGAGAGTCCTCAGGCCTGGTGAGGAAATATGAAAAAAAAAATGAAGAAACTACCCTAAGTTGCTGAGCCGCTGTGAGAAATTACTATAGAAAACAAATGAAAATATGCTCTGGGTGAAATGCCCTAAGTTGCTGAGCCACTATGAATAAATACTATGTGGAAATATGCTTCTGGTAGGGGTCTGAGTGGAAAAGATCCAGAAGAAAAGCCATATGGACAAGGAGAAAAGGACATGGGAGAGAAATAAGATGCAGCCAATGTTGCTGCAGAATCTGTGAGGAAGTCCTTCGAATCTAAAAATCTCAGTAAGAATACCCTAGTTGATGGCATGCAGAAAATATGTACTGATCACAATAATGTCCATTTTGTTCTTAAATTGGTTAATTCTTAGAAGGGATCGTAGGTAAAAACTTGAATTTTGGCTGTGACATATGCACACACACACACACTGAAGAACTATGATGCTGTATTTCTGTGATAAACAATGGTGTATAATCTGTCCAGTAAAGAACTTGAATCTGAGACTAACATTGATACAATGTTGCATTTACTTATGTTCATTTAGCCACATTCTTTTTTGATCACTGTCGTTACTCTTATCCATGAAAATTTAAAAATATCACTTCTTCTCTCTGAGTTAGTCCTTCTGTGTCTAGGTCAGTAGGAACATAGCTTGAATCTGGTTGCTAAAGGATTAACAAAACCTCTAAGTTTGGGTCTGTTACTTGCGGATAAGAAACACCTCAAGTTTGGGGGAATCTGATGAGTAAAATAGATACACTTTTAGCAGACATTTTCTACTCATTTTTACTTAGTATTAGGTGTCAATCAGTTAGGATTAGTTTACTTTTGGGGTGATTTTGCAGTTCAGGTATTTCAGGGGGCCATTGTAGAAAATTAGCATAAAAGAGGGCCAAATCGCAGATAATGGTTTATTTGTTACATAAAAGCATCACAATTAACTCTGAATTTAGTAAGAAATTAGGGGTATTTCTTAATATTAGTGCATTTCACTTAACTAGTTTTTGTGTTTTCTATTAGGATAGGACTTGATTGAACACTTGCTGAAAATTAGGGCCAAAGGAACAAATTGTGGGCTGCTAAGACAATTTTTGCTGAGCTGGTCGAAAAAGCACCCCCAAGACACAAAGCATCTTGCCATTAATGAGTGTGTCTCTCATTTGAATTCCAAGGGGCATGCTTGTCTCTTGGCCGAAATTCCAACCACCCATGCTGATCAATGAGGTTACTGCTGCCATTACTGGAAGAAGAGAAGAAGACCAGTCAATTTTGGATTCCAGACACAAGGCCTAGGAAGAATTAAACAATTCACAGTTATGGGGAGGCTCTCTTGATTGAAGAACCGGCTGCAGGGCTCTATAAATGGGGAGCTGCACTCTCAGAATTACATCTCTCTGGTTACCCTTTCAGTTGCAAAAACACACAGAAAAACTCCAGAAGAAGACAAGAAGGAAGAAGGAACAACAACAACTCAGTAAGGAAGCTAAGTTGAAGAACAGCCATCCCAATTTCTGCCTCATTTCCATGAGTGAAATCTTTAACTCTCAGGAGTGGCTCAGAATTGCACAAGCTTTTTTCTCGTCTCTTGACTGTTAGCTTGAACTTCGTTTATTATGCATACTTCTATGATGTTTTTTGATATAAGCAGCTTCCAGGGGTTAATTTCCTCAACCTATGTTGTAGTTGTTGTAATGCACTGGTTCTGTTCCTTATTTTGAAGTTGAAAGTTTTTCTATATTCATTTACTTGATCACTAAATTGAATGCATGCTAGAACTAAGGGAGATCTGGAAAGATAAACTTGGTTTGGATTGTTTCAACTTTAATTATGACATAGAGGTAACAGTCTATGGTTTTAACTAGGATAGGAATATACTTAGTTAACATGAGCATTCATGAAAGCCTGAGATCTTAATGACTTTTTAACTGGAATCAATCATTGGAAAATAGATTGTTAAGGTTGCAAAGATGACTCTAGGAAAAATTGGAACTGACTTAGAGTTATAAGTGAGTTGAATGAACAAGAACTCAACCATTACAGTGCTGATTAACAACTGCATCAGTACGAAGAGGAGATGAACACCCCTGGCTTCCATTCCCCTGAGTGACTATTTCCATTCCCCTGAGTGACACCTTGTCTAACTGGTAGTCTTTTAACAACAAATTAGGTAATTGGCTGTCCTCGTGGGATCGACCTAGCTTCCATTATCTACAAAAATTACAATCCAAGCTAGTAATATTTTTTGTGAACTCGGCACGCACCAGAAAGTGGCGCCGTTGCCGGGGATGGCATAAAACCTTCAAAAATTTGTTGTTGTCATTTATTTGTAAATATATAAAATTCTTCTCTGGTTACCCCACTAAGCTTCCGGTTTCTTTTCTTTGGTGTATGGCTAGAAGGCACCAACGAAGTGAACCAGTTTTTGATCCAGAAATTGAAGCTACTATACGCAGAGCCAGAGCAGCAAAAAGAAGGTAGAATCAGTTGCAACATAACCGCCAAAAAGGTTCGTCAGAAATGGCTAACCAAGGTGGTAACCCGGAGAACAATAGGAACCCTGGTGGGGATCAACAAAATCGACCAGAGAGATTGCTTAGAGATTTCTTTATTCCACAACAAGAAGAACTCCAATCCCCTTTGGTGTTCCCCGATGAGAGGCAACCAATTTTGAGTTGAAACCACAGATGATCCAATGGACTCAGTCAACCTTCCCGTTCCATGGATTACCTTATGAAGATCCTAATGATCATATCCAAAGTTTCCTGCATTTATGCAGTACTTTTAAGATTCAAGGCTTATCCAATGATGACATTAGACTGAGGTTATTCCCTTTTACTTCGCAGGATCACGCCCAAGCATGGTTCAATACGTTACCCAACAATTCTATCTCCACTCGGGAAGAGTTAAGACAATGCTTCCTGACAAAATTCTTTCCACCAGCAAAAGCTGCACAACTCAGAACAGCAATAATGAATTTCAAGCAGCATGGAACTGAAACACTCTATGAAGCATGGAAAAGACTGAAAGAAATGATCAGGAAATGCCCTCAGCATGGTTTGGAAGAGCATCTCCAACTGAGCATCTTCTACAATGGGTTACTACCCACTACAAGAGACTCCCTTGATGCTGCAGCTGGTGGTGTGTTTATGATGAAGCCGGTTGATGCAGCAACACAGTTGCTTGACAATATGACCACCAATCATTCAAGGTGGCAATCTGATCCAAGGGCAAGTACAAAACAGCCAGGAGTGATGGAACTTAACCCCAGTGCAACTTGCAAGCACAAATGGCTGTTATGATGAATGAAATGACAAAACTCAAGAGTGAACTGTCCAAATCCAAGGCTGAAGTGTGTGTGTTATGTGATGGATCTCACAATTTGGATGACTGTCCCTCCAAAATGGAAGCTGTCCAGTTTGTCAGGCAGGGCAATGCTGGAAGATTCAACAACTTCAACAATTGGAGAAATCAGCAGCAGCCTAACTGGAGCAATGCACCACAACAAGGGAGCTATCAGAGGCCTACTCAACCCCCAGGATTTCACAGACAAGATGGTCAACCTTCCAACTATCAGAATCAGCAGTGTTCTAACCAGCAATACATACCAAGGGAAGATGAATGGATTTCTGTGCAAAATGCAATCAAGAACTTGGCGGTGTCTTGTAAAG